CAAAAAATTACAACATAAACTATTAGATTATTAATTAACTAATTATAAATCAGAGAAATAAAATTTATAATTATACAAAATCTAAAAAAGTATGAAGTCTTTGGTTAACTGAATTTTGAAATACTCCAATATATGTTGAAGTATCTCGTGTATTAAATTCATTTGACATTGTATAAATATAATTTTCACTATAATATAAATATTCAGAATAATTATACAATGTTGAAAGTAATATTGGATATGTAGCAAGACCGAATGCAATAATATACGAGAAACCTGCAATTGGACGGTATGCTCCCGGAAAATACTTAGGTAGCAGAACAATTACATTCTCCGATTCTGGAAAATTTTGGAATAATACTCCTGTAGAAATAAATATAGTCGAAAGAAGAGCAAAATAGACAATACTAAAATGGATATAGGCAAACACCATTGGCAGAACATGTGTTAATAAATAAGGCAAAATTAAGGCACCAATAAAAACAAATGTAATTATAGATGAGAACAAACCAAGATGGAACGCAAACCATTGCCAATTTGTTGCTGGTATCCATGTTTTCCTATTTTCTAATAGTGCTATTAATTTAATAATAAAAACAGTAAAAAAACCAGAATATGATACAAATATATAATTGTATATTCTGTAGCCAAATGCATTATAACAATTCCATGTAGTTGCATATTCAGCTGACATACATGATGATTGAATATGACAATACCATATACCATGTCCACATAATGGAAGACATTGAAATACAAAGTCAAAAACATCAAAATCTACCTTTCCTCTCAGTCGATCACGTAACTCTTGTGACTTTTCTGATTGTTCAAGTCCGCGAAATATCAACGAAAATAGTGGTCCCCGATGATCTCTTTCAATCTTCTCTGCAGTACGTAATACCTCAAGAGACGTTCTTCTAAGTGTCTCCTTATGAAACGATAATACCCAGCGAATAAAAGCAATCTCTGTTGTTGTTAAGAATACGTGGTATCGATATAAGTTCCATAAACGTAGAAATAGTTGCATTCCTATAAGTTGCAAAACCATTATCCAATATGGCTGAATAGTCATGTGGTCTTGTGGAAGACTATATAATAATGGATTAGCATTTTGATATTGTATTGATATAGAACCAGCTGTACCGTTTGAATACATTATTATATGTTACTTTTTCAGATAATTTACTAACATCAATATTTGCAACGAATTATAAAAATTATTTAGGTTTCGTAGGTTTTCTACGAAACCCTTAAAAAACAATTTGAGTGTATCTTGAGTGTTTACGAAACCTTTTTAAGGGTTTCGATTTCGTTGCAAAAATAGTTCGGCAGTGCACCTTTTTTTTCAGTGTAGTAACATAGATAATCATTTTATTCAAGGAAAATATCTGTTTTCGTAAACAATATTTTAATAAATAACTATGTGACTTGCTTGTGCGTTACAAACTGTTAAATTAAATGATGTTGTGATGATAACAGCAGTCATATTTACAAGCAAAATATATATAAAAAAATAGCATATCAGATTTATTTTTCACGGTGAATTATTTCATATTTTTAATATTTTTCTGCTCATCGAGATAGCATATAAATTACTTCTGTTTATTTTTGTGGATTTTTTCTCACTATTAATGAATATTATATTCTTTCGATATATTTAAACATTCTGTTGACAAGGATGAAATGCAATTTTACGTAATAATCAAAAAACAAAATTAGATAAATCATTAGTACGATTATGAACAATGGAAATAATATTTTTGTATATAAAACGAATAAAAGAATATTTGTTAGTCATTTTATTGTTTCACATTATAATAGCTATAAGCTATTGAATTTTATTTTTTTTTGTTATATTCATCTCTTCTATTTAATAAAAATCTTCAAACGCTAGTTGAAAAGGTGTAATATCATAAACTTGGATCGGTTTGATTTTTTTTTCTTGTCATTTGTTTGATCACGGATGAATTGCAATCAATCGATTTTCTTTTTTTTTCTTTTCAAAGAACCAAATTATGTAAATAATGATCATAAATCCAATAGCATCTATTTTACCTTAATAAAAAAAAGTGCACGTAAAGCTGTTTTATAACCAAGTTTTTCTTTCTAATAAAGAACCGATCAAAGAGTGCATTGTTTTAGAATATATATATATTGCATTGCATAATAAATCTTTTTCAACCTTTTCTATATGTTTTTTTCCTCATATATAGATAAAGGAAAGAATAAATGATATATATAAAATATTGTTTTCATATTTCAGTGTAAGTCCATTTTTTTTCAATTGAATTTACGAAATAATCCTATTGTTTCGAAACTTGATAATAAATTCCGATGTTTTATAAATAAACAGAGTGAGTATTGGTATGAAGCTCTCAAAAAATGAATTTCTGTATCTCTGTCAGAAATTGATGTTGGACAATTATATTTTCGTCATTTATCAAATCAGTATATGATTTTCGCTGCTTTTAGAATAAAAATTATTTCTAAACTATCTTAGAAATCTCGAATTTGTAATTTATTATTGAATTAGATTTAATTAAAAAAAAATGGTTACTCTATTTGAAAATCCTCATGAATCAGCATTGGCAATGTTTTTATTACAAGTATTTATTACATTAATTGTATGTAAAATTCTTGCTAAACTCTTATCATTTATTGGTCAACCACAAGTTATTGGACAAATCATTGCTGGAATTATTTTTGGTCCATCAATACTTGGTAAATAGAATTATATACATATAAATTAGTAAATTTTTTTATTTATTTATTTTAGGTTATGCTAAAGGATGGTCATCTGCAATATGGCCCGCATCAACATTGAAAATTTTTCAATTAATAGCAAATTTAGGTTTAATATTTTTCATGTTTTTTCTTGGATTAGAACTTGATTTAAATCAAATAAAAGCAAATTGGAAAGTAACGATTCCTGTTGCATGTGTCAGTATAATTGTACCTGGTATGTAGAAAATTAAAAGAAAATAATCTTATGATAGTTTTGTTTTTTCAAGTGGGTATTGGTTGTGCTGTTGCTCTATGGTTTTATGAATTAAATGATGGAATAGTAGCAAGTAAAACAGCTTTTATTTTATTTATAGGTAAGAAAAATGATTTATTCTCTTCTAAATATATTGAATTTAATTTCAATTAAAGCTTCTGGTTTTGGTTTTTCTGCATTTCCTGTATTAGCAACATTATTAAATTCGATGAATTTACTTAATGAACCAATTGGTATTCAAACAATATGTTTAGCTGCAGTTGAAGATATTGTTGTTTGGGTTGTTTTAGCTGTCGCTAGTGCTTTTTCATCCGGTGGTTCGGCTCTTCAAGGTCTTTATACATTATTATTAACATTAGCATTTATAGCAATAATGATATTTATAATACGACCAATATTTAATCGTATTCATGGTTTTTATCTACAACGTCATGATGATTGTAATGTTTATATTGTTGTTGGTTGTTTTTTATTACTTTTAATTGCATCATTTACCACTGAAGTCATGGGTAAAAGGATTTTCGTTTTTTAGAAAAAAAAATAAATAATAATTTTAATAGGTATTCATGCATTTTTCGGAGCATTTATTGCTGGTCTTTGTATACCACGAAAAGGTGAATTAGTTGAATTTTTATCAATACGTATTGAATTACTTATTGTTGAATTTTTCTTACCGTAAATAAATTTTTAATAAATTTACGAAATAAATAATTTTATTTTTATTTTAGTCTTTATTTTGCGAATAGTGGTTTAAAAACACGTTTAAATCTATTAAATACTGGTCGCTCATGGTGGACATTAGCTATACTTATTATTTTAGCTTCAGTATCAAAAATAATTCCAGTAACAATCGCAACAAAAATATGTGCAAGAAAATCTTGGTATTATTGTGCATCAATGGGTGTTTTAATGAATACACGTGGTATTGTTCAATTAGTTGTTTTAAATATTGGTGTACAACTTAAAGTTATATCACCTGTTATATTTGCCATGTTTGTTTTAATGGCAACTATTTTAACACTATTAACTTCACCAATTTTATCATTTCTTTATAAACGTGATTCAGATCCGAAGATTTTAGAAGAATCTAAAACTGCATATGATTTACATATGGTTTTAGAAGGAGAAAATAATCTAAATAGACCTTCAATTGATAAAAATGATCTATCAAATGGAACAATAACAGCTATTGTAGAAACGAAGAGATTGTCAACATCATCAAATAATGAAAATGGACAACGAAGAAAATCTTCTCGAATGACTCTATTTTAATGATTTGTTTCATTTTTGTTTTTACACATTATATAGAATACCTTTTTAGTTAGTTTTCACCGGTTTTTTTGACATTTTATTTTTATAGAATAAAATAAATCAATGAATAAATCATAATGAGGTTTAATATAGAGTCAGCGAGAGAGAAAAAGAAAAATTGAACCAGATTAGTTATTCAGTCTTAAGTCGTAGTGCTTCTTTATATTTCTTATCTCCAAATACGATTAGAATAGTAAAATAGATGTGCTATGAATTGATCTAGTCGTCCTTCAATATCATTAGTTCGAGTAATATAAGAAAGTTTTCATCATTCAACAGAAATTCTTTACCATTAGTCATCAGCTGAAGTGTTACGTGTTGTTTTAGTGATATCATCAATATGTTACAGTCATTTCAATGTTATCTCTCACCTTCTTTTTTTACTGACAATACAAAATGAAATATACAGATTCTTTACTGTTTCGACAAGCAAATAACGACTTATGTCACCGTCAGTATCATAAGCATATACTTTAAGAATATTAATTCTATTTTGTTTTGTTTTTCTTCTTATAAGAAAAACTTTATTGCTTGGACTAGTTATTAATATACAGTTTCTAATATTCGATTTGAGAAGATTATAGTTGACAGTCTCACCTTCAGATCGGAATAGCATCTGTGATCATCAATCGATTATAAACTTGATTTATTTTGATATTTTAAGAATATTTCAATTCTTTTCTAAAACAATATGATCACGTCTAGTCCATTATTTGATATTAATCAATTAACAACTGAAGAACAAGAAAAATTTACTATTGTTTACAATGAATTACAACCGAATTATACATCTTATCTTCAATATAAACTTAATTTAGAATTGGATACTAAATTTGAGAGAGAAGAAGAAGAAAATGAATGGCATTATGAATTACATAGATTTCTTCGAGCTAGAAAATGGAATGTACCTCATACAATTAAATGTCTTGTCGAAATGATAAAATGGAGAATGGATAATCATGTTGATTTAGTACTTGAACATAAACCTACATCTGATCGAGTGAATCTTCTTCAAAAAATAGTTCCATTTGTTGATCATGGTTATACAAAAACTGATCGACCATTATATATTGAAAAATCTGGTCTATTCAATGTAGATAGATTACTGAATAGTTTTCAACCAGGAGAATTAATTCAATGTCATATATATTGGCTAGAATTGCATTGTCGATTAGCAAGAGAACGTAGTCGACAAACAGGAAAACATATAGAAAGTTTTGCGTTACTTCATGATTTAAATGGTTGTAAAGTGGAGATGAGAAAAGTACTTCCTTTATTTAAACAATCTATTAATATCGATGATACTTATTATCCTGAACGTCTAGCACAAATGTTTCTAGTAAATCCACCAGCAATTTTTCCTATTCTTTGGAATTTAGTAAAACATTGGCTTGATCCAGTGACCAAAACAAAAATTGTAGTTGTTAAAAAAGGTTCTGATATATCAACGATACTTTTACAACATATCGATTCCGATCAACTACCTTGCGAATATGGTGGTAGTTGTCATTCATGTTCAACAGCACCCGATTGTATTCCAGTTTATGATTGGAGTAAGGATATTAATGGTGATAAATGAAAACAAAAAAAAAGACAATCCGTTTGCATCAAATCAAAAATTGTATTTTTTCGAAATGATATCTTTTTGAAATTATTTAATAACCGATACAGAAATAAAATGAACTTATAACTCTAGATTTTGTTTATTTTCTTTTCAAAAATAACATGAAAGTTACTAGACAATTGGTGCGAATAAATTATCTTCAATCTAAAATCAATCACTTTTTATTTTGTAGATCTGCATAAGAATACAAAACACTTTTATACGATACAATAGAAGTAATAAATCAATCAAAGAAGAAAAAAAGAAAACAGATAATAATCAAATGATTTATAAATCTCGAAATTTATCTGTTGCATTAACTAATTGATGGACAATTCCAGGTTCTTTTGTTGAATGTCCAGCATCATCAACAAAATGTAATTCACCTTTTGGCCAAACTTTATGTAAATCCCAAGCTGAACGAGCTGGACAAACAACATCATATCGACCTTGAACTATAACACCTGGTATATCTTTGATTTTATCAGCATTTTTAAGTAATTGTTCATCTTCATTCATAAATGCTCCATTTACAAAATAATGTGTTTCAATACGAGCAAAAGCAACAGCAAATTTTGCATCATCAGTAGCATGAGCGATGTATGATGGGTCAACATATAAACGTGATGTTGCCATTTCCCAAACTGACCATGCTGTAGCTGCTTTTAACTTTTCTTCTTCATTGTTACCAGTTAATCGACGATGATATGCCGACATTAAATCACCACGTTCACCAACAGGTATTGGTTCTAAATATTTATCCCATGCATCAGGAAATATCATTGAAGCACCTTCTTGATAAAACCATAATAATTCTTTACGACGACAACAGAATATACCACGTAATATTAATGCTTTCACACGTTCGGGATGTGTTTCAGCATAAGCTAAAGATAATGTCGATCCCCAACTACCACCAAATACAACCCATTTATCAATATTGACATGTTTACGTAATTTTTCTAAATCTTCAACTAAATCCCATGTCGTATTTTCTTCTAAACACGCATGTGGTGTTGAATCACCAGCACCACGTTGATGATAAAGTATAATTCTATATGCTTCTGGATCAAAAAATCGTCGATCACGTGGATCAGTACCACCACCTGGTCCACCATGTACAAATACTACTGGCTTACCAGAAGGATTTCCAACTTCTTCATAATATAAAATATGAATATCAGATACTTTCAACATACCAGTTTTATATGGTTCAATTTCTGGATATAAATCTCGTAATTGTTTTGTTTCTTCTGTTGTAGTATTTATCGGCGACATGTTTAGGATATAACTAAACTATAAAATATCTAAAAATAATTTTTTTTTAAATTTTTAATATTTCTTATTTCATAATGATTAATAAGATAGCCTAACGGTTCGATTTGCATATAAAATGAAATAAGTTACGCGATCAATTAGACAATAAAGAAACTAAAATTATTAGTTTGATATGGTCAGCCAATAACATGATTTCATAATTGACTCCTCTATAATAGGAAAACTATTTACAAGGATACGCCATATTCGAGCGACTCCAACTCCCTCTAAACTAAGATAATATGATGAGACAATAAAATTAACTTACAAAAAATACCTTCAATTTTTACAAATGTATATAATAAGAGTTAAACGACTGATTATATACAATGTATGCTTACCTTTTTTCGTTAGCTTAAAACAAAAAAGAATATATTTATTTAGTCTACATGTGCTTACATATTGTTTTTTATTGTAGATAAGAGAAAAAAACATCGTATCTTTGCCGTGGTTTATTTTATTAAAAGAGTGTCAATATAGAATGAAATAAAACGAATACTGAAAAATGAATACAATACTCTTTTGTCGTTCTTGTATATATATAACAATTATATATAAATGTATCGATGTGAATCATAACCTATGTGTTATAATAAACATATTTTTGCTTTTTATCATACGGTAATTATCAAAACCGTATTGAATAAATTAGAATAGATTTTACAATCTTCCGCCCGGCAAAATCAAATTCACTGTTTTTTTTCTTGCTTCATATCAGAACTAGTTTGATTCAATATTTTGTTCCATATATAGTCGCTATACTGTAACGACGCGAAAGAAAGTCAGTAGTATAGAACTCGTTAATTTGTTACGAATCTTAAGCTTCTACAAGTTTAATATTCGAGTAATCGAGTATTAAAATTTACTTGACTATCAAACTATTCTACCCACACCCAGTTTCATTTTTTAAATTTTAGATAGAATATTTTTCTTCATTATCATAATTACTGAAACAAAAGTCGAATAATCATTTTCGATACTATAATTGGTTAGAATTCAATACTCTAAGGATACATGCATCAAACTAACAAAAACTTGTTTTATTTATTCTCAATATGTTACCAACTTCAATCAAGTTATACGAAAGAGACGAGTTTGTTTTTTTCATATAATGATCGATAATATACATTTATCGTTATTATATAGTTTAATTTTACCAATAGTTTTAAATCCTTACTCTGTATTGATATTGTATTATTCTCAATACTTATTTATATTTATTTCGTTTCTGTGTCCTAAAGATGCAAATTTCTCTCTTTACTCTGTATAGCACATTTAAGTCTTAATTTTCCTGATTTATGATTGTATTTTTTATTATTAATTATATATTTACATCAAGTAGATATAGAGTACAACTTTACAGAGCACAATTTAAATCTATGATTACTTTTACTAGACAAATGTCTAATATTTATGTAGGATTGCTAAAATTCAAGATCAATGACAATCGATCATCGAACATAAAATACTACCATACACGATTGGCTCTTTATTTATATTTATAAAGATTGTAATAGTACCATTTTCTCTTTAATCTATTATACTTATTTATAGATACTATTTGAATTAAAACATAAAGATCTTTTTGTGTTTCTTATTTTATTTTACAAACTGTGAAACTATTCAACTTTGATTCTGAGATTGTTCAGTAGCGTTGACTGTGTATAGACGCGCCTAATCTGTCTAGAAGCAACCGATCCGAAAATAAGAGTAAACTGATAGCAGTGGAAAATATCGAGATAAAATCGTAATAAGTAGAAAGAAGATTCACTTATTAAATGTCAATCGATGGAATATAACATTGTCTTTCAATGCATAGCTGTTGCACAAGTACTAAGTATCTACGTAACAAAAGAATACTATTACAAGCCATCTTCATTTTTTATGAAACTTTTTAATAGTATGTTGTTCTCGCGCATGTCGCTATTTCTAAATAGAACTCACGGAGCTCTGTCAAATAGACTCAGCTTGAACATGGACTGATTTGTTACTCTTATATCTATATCATAAATATAAAAAAATTCTTTTCTTTTTCTTTCTCTTTCATGTATTATGCAGAAAAAATATATGCGTATAAAAATGTCAATTTGTCTGTTATAATAAATTATTTGATTTGTATTTTATTTTATTCGTAATAATTAAAAGATTTAGAGTCAGCGTAAGGAAAAAAGGGACATTTATTCGATTACAAATCACACCACAAGTACATCTTGACTAGATATTTAGACACGAACACAATTACATTCAAAAAGCGATTCAGAAAATAAGCAAATAGAAAACAGAGGCGTCCTTTGATAATTAATATGTGCTGTCAGTCAGTTAAATATTTTTCAAACAAATTAATCGGGAAATCGTCCTGCCATCTCAAATTCTGAGTAAGAGACACAATTATGTTTTCCTCTTTTTGAAGTAATGATAATACGATAGCTTGCAAACGACAACGAATTATTGGGCATTGTTTGTGTACCACCATACACTCGTCTTCCTGGATTTTTCGCGAGACTTGTATCACCATCATAAATCTTAGTCCAACTTGTTCCAAAAACTAAATCCGATTCTTTATTGTTGCTACCTTCAATTGTAATTGTGTTTGGATCTCGAGGTGGAGAATTTTGAAATGTAGCCATACGAAACTGCACGAGAATGAACGGTTTACTTTTGAATGTTATATAGAAACCAGTTTTTATTCCGCATTCATCTTGTAGTGGACTATGTCCGTTACAAATTCCATGATTGGAATATTCGGTATTTAAATTACCATCTAATGCAGCTTGAGGTGGTTCACTAGGCCAATATGTACTTGTGTTTTGACCGGGTAAAGATAGTGAACGATCATTACCTGCAGTTGTATTCCATATAGCATAGACGACTTCGTTTGTTCGTCGAAATATTTGTAACACTATATAAAATTACAAGAAAGAAAGAAAATTTACACTAAAGAAGAATATAAAACTTTCCTACCAATTGGTTTTGTAACTGATGTTGTTGGTTTGTTTTCTTTTGTAATTAATGGTGTTATGTCAGTTGATACAGTTATATTCATTATAGTTTCAGTTGTCCTGCCTGTTTTTAGTTTTAAAATAATCATTGATGGAATTACAATTACTGCAATCATTAATAAGATCAGACTAGGGTGTGGGTGTGAGTATTTATCTTCTTTTAACTCACACTAAGACGCACCCACACCCAGACCATTTATGTGTATCTCTGAAACCGCTTAAAAACACGTTCCTAATAACCGCGGTTTCGAGCGGTAAAATACTGTCGCGAAAGTCAGACCTTTAATGCATATCTCTAAAACAGCTTGAAACCGCGGTTCTGGTAGCCGCTGTAAGGGGCGGTTTTTTTCCAAAAAAATTTCCGTGGGTAGACAGTTTAAGTTGAAAATAGAACAATACAATGATTAGTGATTATTAGTAAAACTTTGCTTTTAGAATTCGAAAAATGATCATTTAGATGAGAATTATTTATTATAAGTATAAGTGATATAATATTTAAAAAAGCAGAAACGACAGAGAGAAGGCAGCAAAAAAATGGCAACACTGAATATCAGCCAATATTGTATAATGTTTTCTTTGAATAATGTACTTAGTAGCGCAATAGCAATGTCAATGAATAAATAAAGATCAGTCGTTTATCAGTCCTAACAATGCAAGAGAACACTGATGGTGTTCGAATCAGAGTTTGCAACAATAATATCGGGTTTATTGTCACTATTTACATCGACGACAGCTAGTGAATTTGGACTAGTACCAACTGCGTAAGCAATTTGAGTAGCGAATGTGCCACTGCCTGTGTTGAGAAGAACACCGATGGTGGCCGAACCCTGGTTTGCAACAATAATATCAGGTTTACTGTCGCTATTTACATCGACGACGACTGCTGAAGTTGGAGTGCCATTAGCTGGGTAAGTAACTTGAGCATTAAAAGTGCCATTGCCTGTGTTGAGAAGAACACCGACGGTATTCGAACCCTGGTTTGCAACAATAATATCAGGTTTACTGTCGTTATTAACATCTACGACTGCTACGGCACCTGGATTAGTACCAACTGGATAAGTGGTTTGAGCATTAAAAGTGCCAGTGCCTGTATTGAGGAGAACACCGGTATTGTTCGAAGCATAGCTTGCATAAATAATGTCGGGTTTATTGTCGCTATTAACATCGGCGACTGCTACAGGAACTGGGCTACTGCTAACTGGATAAGTAGTTTGAGCGTTAAAAGTACCACTGCCTGCGTTGAGAAGAACACCGACAGTGTTCGAAATCTGGTTTG